TTTTTTTTAAGATTAGTATTTAATTACCTAAATTATTTATAATAAGGAAGGATTTGAATTTAGAATATGCATCAAGCTTTCATTTTCTTTAGAAGCCTCTTCTTTTCAAATCTTCAGTCCCTCTAAATTATGCATAACCTGTGGCTACTATCATTAAATGCTATTTATATATCTTTAATTAAAGAAGGATATGCAACCATTTTTTCTTTTCTTTTTTCTCTTTTGTTTCCGCTCTATTAAAAATAAAGCATCAATTTCCTTTTCCACCTTTTTTACAATTTCCAAAGATTATCATCTTCTGTACAGAAGACAAATATTAGTACTAAGCTACAATTTTAATTCAAAGGAAGTAGTTTACCATGGCAGTGGACAATGACCCATCTTTATTCTTCAATATTGAATATTAAGTCAAATGGAGATGTAGAGATGCTAAAAATAAAATATTATTGTTAAGAGTTTAATTGAATTAATATTTATTAATTTAAAATTTTTAATTTAAAGTTAAAATTAAGAGCTTATACCTCCATAACGTTAAGTAATCAATTTTGAGTTCTAATGTAATAAATAAATAAATAAATCTTCTTAATCTTTGGAGAAAAAAAAAATACTAACAAACAGTTTACTGGTGACAATCAAAATATGAGCCATGCAATGCAACCCAATCCGGGAACAAAATGACATTCTAGCTCTCATTTGTGGATTACCTATTTTCACAAAAAAAGAAAAAAAAAAGGAAAAAAGGAAAAAAGAAAAAAAAAATGCTATTGTAGCACTGACATAAGAGTTCAATTTCTTTTAAAATTTTTATGTGCTTTTAATTTTTTTGATAATAGGAAATTTCGGAGAAAAGGAACTTGTTTATAGAATTTAGATTTTAAGTGTCCGAACACTTTCCTCATTAAGTTGGTCAATAAATCAGTAAGTCAACAAGCTCTAAGTTTTATGTGCTTATAATTTTATTTAGTGATAATATTATACTTATAATACTACTTATAATATTACTAAAGGTTAAAAACTTAATAAATTAAAATTATAATTCAATTCGGCTGGAGTTGGATCCATGATTGGATTGGACATAAAGAAATCAGTTTTGGGGCACATGGACTGATAATGAACATGGACAACTGGGGAGACTGGACGACATGCAACTCATTTTGTTTTCTTGGTCACTTGAGGACTTTTTTTTTAGTCAAATAAACCCCTCAATTCTACAATTTGGGGAAAATTTTATTTTTGATTAAAATTAATTTTCTTTCTTTCTTTTGTACTTTCGCATCAACACTT